TAGCTTTATAAAGAATATTATACTGTATGTAATCTTTTGGGACTAATAGATGCTAATAGATGCTAAGATGTAGTTCATTTGTTTTGATTTGTGTAGTATTCCATCCCGAGAATATTCTACAGTATATTCATCCATTCTCCTGTCTATATGAACTTACTTCCAGGTTATGTGAATGGGGGTGCCATTAACTTTTGTTTACATGTTCCCTGGGGCACATAAGCAAGGCTTTTGCCACGTAGGAGTGGAGTTGCTGGGCCACAGGGTATATGCATGTTCAATCTTGGGAGTCAGTGACAAAGTGTTTCCAATGAAGACGCTCCCACAGTCAGTGCATGAGAAGTCATGTGACCCACATCCTAACACTTGGTATTGTTAGACTTTCAAATTGTTGTTAATTGAGTGGACATATTTATTGTGGACTTGATTTGCATTTCCGTTACCACTATTGAGGCTGAGAACCTTTTATATACTTACTGGCCATATTTTTTTGTGGTTCATGTCTTCTGTCCATTTTCCCATTGTATCATTTGTGCTTTTCTTACTGATTCTGGGAGTTCTTCATACATGCTTGATATTAATCTTTTTTTGGTTGCGTTTTGTTAAGTCTCTTTTCACTTTTTTTTTTTTTAGAGAGAGAGAGAGAGTGCAAGCAGGGGAGAGGGGCAGAGGGAGAGAGAGAGAGAGAGAGAGAGAGAGAGAGAGAGAGAGAAGGAGAATCTTAAGCAGTCTCCACGCTCAGTGTGGAGTCCGACACTAGGCCTGATCCCATGACCCTGGGATCATGACCTGAGCCAAAATCAAGAATTGGATGCTCAACTGACTGAGCCACCCAGGTGCCCCACTTTTAACTTTATTTACGGTGGCTTAAAAATTTTTTTTAATGTTTATTTACTTTTGAGAGAAAGAGAGAGAGAGAGAGACAGAGGTGTGAACAGGCAGAGAGAGGGGGGCACAGAATCCAAAGCAGACTCCAGGATCTGAGCTGTCAGCACAGAGCCTGACTGGGGCTTGAACTCACAGACCTCTGAGATCATGACCTGAGCTGAAGTCAGACACTTGACTGGGCCATCCAGGTGTCCCTATGGTGGCTTTTGATAAACAAGTACTTTTCATTATCCTTGGTCAAAATCATCCATCTGATCTTTTATAGTTACCCCTTTATGGGGCTTATTTAAGAAATACTCAACCTCAAAATCTAAAAGATATCATCCACATATTCTAAGACTATCACTTATTGACAACAGTATTACTTATCACTTGCCCTCTAAAAAATCAAGTTCAGGGAACAAATCTGATTTTTTTTGGGTGTCTGTTAGTTGGTAGCAATTTAGACTTGGAGTGAAGTCATGTTTTCTGACTTGATATATATATTTAAAGATCCATGGCTCCCTGTCGTTTAAAAGGGGTCACTGATAGTGTTGTTTTCAGACTTTGCCTCATGTTGTGTCTGCAGACACAAAAAGGGGTGGGTCCTTCATAAGTCATGGGTTTTCCATGTGTTTGAGGGCTCCTGGTAAGGGTTCTTCTTGATTGATGAAGGCAGAGATCTCTAAGGGGCAGCACCAATGAGTGCCCAGGGTGGCTGGAGTTCCCCCAAGTGCTGGGCCACTCCCCCTGCTTCACCACTCACTAGAAAGAAAGCAAAGCCCTTCTGAAGCAGTTGCCTGCTAAACAGACTTGTGCACACAGGGGAGAGATGCACCAGGCCTCTTGCCACTTGTTATCCAGTAACAGCAGGGGGTGCACCCTCCCAGCCACTGGCAACATGGATGCTTGGTGTCATCCAACTGGGGGGTGAGCTTGCATGGGGGAAGCAGTGCAGAGATGTGCGGGGGTTATACCCCTGCCTGCCCGCGTCATAAGCCCCTTAGCTACGAGCTCAGCTCACACATGGCTCACTTTGTTATAGTCCAACCACGGCCCCGTCTTGATCAGTCAGAGCTCTTTTTTTTTCTTGGTGAGAGGCGTAGCTAGGAATGTGGGGTTGACCGGGAACTGAACTCAGAATGCCATGGCCTCTGGTCACATCGCCTCCTGTCAGTTCTCTGAGGATTCCTGTCCTTCCCCCAAGGCCTCACCTGGAAGAGCTGCCTGCTGCCTGGAAGAGAAGTGTGGGACAACACCATGAGGCGCTACCAGCGAGGGGCAGCCCTTATCACCACTGCAGAGTGCAGGCCACTCCCCTGGGTCTGGGGGGTGGGTGGCCCAGTCTCTCCAACGGGCCTGTTCCCCTTGCCCCCTCACAGCCCCTCCACCCCCTCACTCAGTCTCCCCCTGGGGCGGAGCTTTGCCTTGCTGTCACTTCCTTCCTCTCCCTTCTTGCCTCCTCACCCTTGTTTTGGTGTTATTTGCACTGATGATCCACACTTCTGCAATCCCTTCTAGCCAAGGGGCTGGTCTTCACAGCCTGGGGCCAGAGTTCCTGAATCCCCCACAGTCTCTTCTTCTCAAATTAAAATATTCATCTTTGTCTTCATACCCGAGCCCCTGTCTGCCGTGGACTGGGACCGAAATCCTGAGGAAAAGGTGGTTTGGGTGGTGAGTCCACTGTCTCAGGGTCCGTTTTTTGTGGGAGCTGTTCCTCCTGGCTTGTAGATATCCCCTAAAACTCAGTGCAGCCTGCCCATTCTTTGTCCCCGTGTTGGGACATGACATGAGGGACCTCAGAGGGCAGGTGCAAGTGTCCCCATCTATCTGCTTTGTGGGTGCACAGGTGCACACTCCACTTCTCCTTGCTTTGAGTCCAGGGCACCGAGCCAGCGGGGATATCGTCCAGGGGAGTCCACTGTCAGAGCGATTTGCTTTTGCCCCTCATGGACCCCAGTTCCTCCTTGGCTTTGGTGTGACTTCCACGCCTCTGTTGGGGGGTGTTAAGCCCAGCCTCACCTGTGACTTCCTTCCTGGAAATCGTTGGTCCTGAGAAGGAGACATAAGGGCTTGTTTCTCTGAGTGTGAGCTGTTGCCTCTCTGTGCAGGGTCAGGGTGGCCCAGTTCCCCAAAGCACCTCTGTTCCTCTTTCCCATATGCCTCACACCAGGGCCAGTTGCTTCCGGGCAGAGACCTGGCTGCTGGCATCTGTGCTTGCAGAAGGTCTGGTTCTGGGGATGGGAGATGGCTCCAGCTGCTGGTCCCCGGAGTGATCTGGCACAATGTTAGCTGGTCACTGACGCACCGTTTCCATTCAACCTGGCATCCGGCAGGTGCCTGTTTCTTTGCAAGCACACGGGGCCTGTATTTAACATGACATTAGCCTGCTGCAGTATTGAGTTAACTATGAAAGAGATGATCTTCTGGACAGAATCACTATCCACCAGACAAAATGATTACATTTACAGCTCAATTGGTGCCGATCAATATAAATGAAATGTGAACAACTTAATGTATCCACCAGAAACAGCAGGCCTGACGTGGTCTCCTCACGTGCATTGTGCTCCACACTGGGGGGTGGGGGGGGGGAGTGTCTCTGCACTCGAGTGGTCATCCAAAGCACTTTTGCTTTCTGTCACCCCTCAAGTAAGCAGGCAGTACTTTGCCGAATCAGTCGAGGTAGGCTGGATGATGCTGCACTAATGAGCCAAAGCTCAGGGGCTTGAAACAGCACAGGTTGGTTCGCCTTCGTGCTGCATTTCCATTGCTGGCCAGCAGAGGGAGCTCTGCCTACTACAGAAGCTCAGGACCTAGGCTGGTATTTTCCTCTTGAAAATTGCAGATGGTCCTATCAGAGGGAGAGAGGGCTTTGAAGGGTCTTGCACTAGCCGTCAGATGCCTGGGTCTGGAAGTCAGGCACATCCCTTCTGCTCATCACTTACTGGCCAGAGCTGGGTACACGGCTCCCCCTGCCACAGAATGCGGGAAGATGAGCAACATCAAGGACAAACACACTTGTGTAAAAACTGGCTGGATGAACAAATCCAATGGGTCCTGGCAGTTTAATGCAATCCTATCATGGAAGGAATAACAGCCCCCGAGTCACGTCTATTTCTTTAAGATCTGTGTCGCCTGCCCATACACATGTATTTCAGAGGCTCAAAGCCATCTCTTCATGCATGAAGAGAGGGTGTGAGCTGTTTCACCTTCTCCCCAAATTTCCTCCTCAAACTAGCAGTGAATCCAGTAACAGTGAGTATACCTGGCTGTGTCATTGTCATCTCCACGTGGGCAAATGCACTGCACAATTACTTTAAACCAAGAGGGAAAAAGTGGTTCTTGATTTATATCACACCCCTTCCCAGCGACCTTCTTTCCTTCCAAACCCAGGCTGGAGGTTCCTCTGACTTCTGGCTTCATGAGGTCCCCTGTCCCTAGTGGAGGCTGGGAAGGCATTCCCGTCTGCTCTGTGCGGCCTTGGCCAGGTGCCCGGGGCTGTCCTCCAGCCTGGGCTGTATCCAGCCAAGGGTGCAGCTGGCGTCAAAGAACAGGAGGTCATGGCATCCGGGCTTAACATTCATACATGCCTGCAGAGAGGTTATTTCAAAGTTGTTTTTTATTCAACTGTTATTCAGCAATATACAATACAGTTTATAAACAAGTGTCTGACCTTGTTTCCAATCTTTATTTAAAAATAAATATTATTGACAGTGAATTTTAATTATGATAAGATGTATCTTTTTTTAATCAAAATGTCTCAAAAGAAATAATTTACTTTAATAAAAAAAAGGAAAGCCCCTAAAGAAAAAAAGTAAATAAAAAAATCCCTAAACACAATAATCTACTAAAAATATTTTGCTTTGTCAGAAAGGCTTTGACCCAACATTTTTACATAGTATCCTAAAGATAACTGCTCAACAGTTCGTGCAAAATGAACACTTGGAGGAAAAGTTTAGAAAAGAAAAATACATTGAAGTAGAGAACTCACTGATCCCATGCATACCGCATGGTCCAAATTCCATCTTATTTGGAAACTAGATGCATTATTTTAGGTGTTCTACATTTGTGTAACTTCCCCAAAAATATGATTTATTTTCCACATGGACTTGGTCATGCTTCTCAGTCTCTCTGTGTCCATCTGGTGACGCGAGCCTCACGCCGGGTCCGGGCAGGCCGTGTGGGCGGGCTGAGGTGCGGGGGGGATGGCTGTGTGTGTCAGTGCCCCACCAGCAGGCGAAGGAGCTTATGCAGAGCCAGCAGGAGCAGGGACAAGAGAGGGTCTGTGGCGGAGCTACGGCCAGTGCCTGCAGGGGGTGAGAAAATGGGCACGGTCAATGCCGGATTCACGAGAACCTAGCGGCCACGGGCAAACCCGGGAGAATGAGACGTCCTCCAACTTGGACGTCTTGACCTCGGTACTCAGCTGGTGCCTAGTGGCACTTCTGCACAACGATGAAGCATTTTGCTGTTTGTTATTTACAGACTACACGTTTTAGGAGCCTTCTGTGGTCAGACACCAGGTACCCCTGGCCTAAAGCCGTGTGTGCTAGATCGTAATTGCAGTTCTAAAGTCCCAGTTGTTATTTGAGCTGAATAAGAAGACAATATGCCAACCACCACCCCCCTACTCTCCCCAGAACTATATTGGAAAGTGCCTTCCGCATCAAAGGCCCAGCTTCCCCTCTCCTCCAAGGGTACTCCATGATTGCACACAACTCCAAACCTTCCAACCCCCGCCTGAACCACACAGCTTAGTATTCACGGATGCCGTCTTAGGCATCCTGATGTTTCTGTGAGTCTTGTTTTCATGCCCTGTTGGTCTAGCCTACCTTAGGGTCAAAGTGGGGAACTCAGAAATCATTGGTTGGTGGAGGTGAGGGGCTCCTGGTTCCTAGGTTCCTGGAGGAGTGACCCTTGCACTGTTCTAGTGAGGTCACTTCCATTTGCTTGACTTGGGCCCCTGGCCCACCACTGGAACTGTAACGTGTGCCTTCATCCTGCCTCCCCTGGGCTGCCTGCCTGGTGTCTTGCCCATCTGTCACTGGGGTCTGCGTCTAGTGGAAGACCTTCGGTGCAACTGGAGGAAAGCCTACCCATGAATCACAGGCTTTTCCCTGGAAGGTGGGATGCTCCAGGGGTCCTGAGAGGAGCCAGGGAAGAAGTGCTACCCAAACCGTGGGGATGACGTCACTGTCACTGCCACCCTGCTTAGGGTCAGACTGCATTAATGTAAACAGTTTCTAGCCCTACCCTGCTCACTTGTACCATCTGGAGGCCTCTCTCCTCCCTTCACTTCAGCCAGCCAGCTGGGCTGGAGCTCTGTGCCTGGATGGAGAGAGGCAGGAGGCCCTTCCCTGTGACAAGCAGATGGTACAGAGGCTGTGGACGCCTCTGCTTATCTGCCCACGGGAGCTGCAGCCAGGCAGGCCGGGTTTCTGGCTTTCCTGACCAGGCTGGGCCTGAACCCATGACATTCCCCTCTCTCTAGTTGGAAGAGCCATTAATCTTCTATCTAAGGTGTTTCCCCCAATCCCAAATCCATCTTGTTCTGGCAATAACTGTGTCCTGGGCCTTAGTGTCCCTTTGTGAAAGGAGGGGGTAGGATAATGATCCAGGGGCCATTCCTGCTGGAGACTCCGAGATTCTATGTGCCCATTTTGGGAAACACAGGCTGGGTTCAAACATCTGAATGAAAAGGGGGTGGGAGCTGTCTGCAGTGCACATCTCGCCCACCATTACTTGTTTCCATGCATGGTCTGAGACCCCGTGGAGAAGCACAAGGACAGGACAAATCCAGGTGTGCTAATCTTCCTCTTCAGACACTAATTTTTTACACAGTTGTCCCTCCTGGCCCTGCTTGCAGCCTGGCAGGAACTGACATTCTGCCCCTTGCCATCCATCTGTGGAAAGGACCAGGGTGTGGTCGTCACTCCCAAGACTCGGGTCCTCCTCCTCTGCTGCTTTCACTGCTACACATCACTGGGAAGAATGAGGGTGGACGTGGTGACGGGTGTGTTGATGGATGGCCAGGTGCCTGGGCTCAGGTGCACGGAAACCAGCAGTGCTGCTGGCAGAACGCTGCCTCCTGGCCACACAGGGCTTGTGTGCCCAGACTGGGCCCATTGGCCTCCAGATCTCCTGGCTCAGAACTTCACGCTCCTGCAAACCCAACATGCAGGCAGGTGCAGACAGGATAGAAACAGCCACACGAGGCCCTGGAAAGCAGATGTCCATGTGCAGTAAAACACAGAGCCGCAAGACACACGGGGGCAGGACGAATGGCAATTGGGCTCTCGAGCTGGACAAGGGAAGTGTTGCCTGTGGAACTGGGGACAGAGGAGATGTGAGGAGACATTTTAATTTGCCTCCAGAGACTGCTGACTGGCCTTTCCCGCTGTCACAATATCACCTACTCACACTGAAAAGTTTTAAAATTGCACAAGACTTTCCAAAGACCCCGGGTTAAAACAAGCAGCCTGCCACTCTGTTTTGGGCCAGAGTGGGAGCAGCAGGGGCCAGGGGCTGAAGTGGTGGCTCCTGGAGACCAGAGCCTGTGGAGGGCAGACACCAGAGTCTGTGGTGTCTCTGCTGGTGGATGTCTGTGGGGGCTCAGCCAGGGTTTGGCTCCTGGGTGGCACCTCATCTACTCCCTGGCCCAGTGTCACCACAAAGGGGGCCAAGGGAGGTGGTCAGGGGCAGCAGGCTGGCACCTGGGAGAGAGGCATTCAAGCAAGCCAGCTGTGTGACCTGGGGGAACACCCTTTACCTCTCTGGGCATTGTGCCACCCACTCTATAGAATGGGGATGCGCATATGCATGGCTCTGTAAAATTAACACGTGCTTGGCATGTCTTTCCAGGTTGTGGTCCAGATCAAGCAAGATCACAGTGGTAGATTGCAAAAATGGCCACAATCTCCTTCCCCCCTCACCTCTTAGATCCCAGCATCCACACACCCTGTGATAGTGCGCCCCCCCCCCCCCCACCCCTCTGAGATGCTGGGCTTGGTCACATGACTTGCTTTGGCCAGTGAATATTATCAAATGTGAAGTAACAAAGCCTTAAAAAAGTGCTTGTCTAGGGGCGCCTGGGTGGCTTAGTCGGTGAGTGTCTGACTTCGCTCAGGTCATGATCTCACAGTTGGTGAGTTCAAGCCCTGCGATGGGCTCTGTGCTGACAGCTCGGAGCCTGGAGCCCGCTTCGGATTCTGTGTCTCCTTCTCTCTGCCCCTTCCCCGCTTATGCTCTGTCTCTCTCTGTCTCTCAGAAATGAATAAACGTTAAAAAAAATTTTTTTTTAAGTGCTTGTCCACTGAGGCTTGCCCTTCCTCTGTGCCTCTTGTAACCCACTGCCTATGAACAAGACTGGGCCAGCCTGCTGCAGGATAAAAGCCATGACACGTCCCAGCTGGGCTCCCTCTAGCCCAATCAGCCCTCAGCTGAAAGGGCAGCTGTCCACATGAGCAGGAATGAGCCCACAAGAGACTGGCAGAGGAGTTTCCCGACTGATCCACAGGATCATGAGCTAAATAAATGGTTCTCGTGTCATACCAAAGCCACCGAATTTGAGCGTCCTCTGTTACACAATTACGTAAACAGAGTCAGCTGCTCTGAAAATAGATACAATTGAGAAGGGTAACATAACTACTTCTCTGAAAAGCGTTGGAGAAAATATAATATGGGGGGTTGTCCTTCCCTCAAGAGGAATGTTTTCCAAGATCGACAACTGTTTAGGACATGGCTACCGGTCCCCCTTCACCGCCTCCAGCGTCTGCTGCCTCAGTCCCTGTCTTTGCTTTCCTGGAGTGAGGCAGGACTTCCCGCTATTGCCTGGGGCTCACCTGGACCCTCCAGGGCCAGGAGGATGCCTTTGGCTCAGCTGAGGTAGGAGCTCCTATCTTGGCCTCTGCAGTGTGGGGATGGCTCTGTTCCTATGAGGCTGCTGTGTCTGGATGCTAACAGTCTCTGTATCTATTTCCTCCCCTCCTAAGAGCACCAGAAATAGCACTGGAACACGCAGAAGTTTATTTGTCATGATTAAGCTGGAAAATCAGGCTGCTTGAAATCAGGCTGGAAAATCAGAGGTGAGGGAAGCCCTCTGATGGAATAGTGGCTGATTCATTCTTTGATTTAACAAGGATCATCATTTTGCTAATCATTCTTAAAGAAATCAAAGCTGCTTTGGCTCTGCGAATATTAGCTTTTATCATTGAAATGGTGAACAGGATAAGACACCTGCTGGAGCCATTTAAGAGGCTCCCAAAGAAAACAGTGGGGGCACTCAGCCCCCATGGGCACCACAAAGGCACCAGCCAAGCTGCTTCTGACTGGGAAATCCCACTTTTCCATTTACACGGCAATGGCAGAATGCCAAAAGCCCTGTCAGAGAACAACACAGAAGCTTTGAGGCCTGGTGATAAAAGTGAAGGAGGAGGTTTTGCTTGGGTCATCCTCTGGGACCCTTGCCTGCACTGGCTGAAGACTAAGCCCATGAGTCAGGTTCCTGGTGGGGCAGTGCCTGCAGGGGAAGCAGCTGCCCACTCCCACTCTGTCTCAGACTCCCACAGGCGTGGGTGCACTGAGGGGACCGCCCCCGCTCTGTGGGCATCAGGAGCATGGTGAGCCGCTCCCCAGCTGACCAGTGGAGACACTAGCCAGGGAAGCCACTGTCCTCCCTCCATGTGCCCTGCTTGTCCTTCCCAGGGTCACAGATGGTTCCCTGGCTTCGGGGGTGACGTCTGCCCTGCTGTGGTCTGTAGCCCTGTCATGCTGGCCGTGGGCAGGAGGGAGCTAGGGACCTGCTGACAATCTGCTTGCTGTACTGGAGGGGTTGCCTGGGTCAGAGCTTTGCAAACGGTGCCCCTCGGAGTCCAGGGTTGTTCAGGGGCTGTTTTTGTGTTTGTTTATGCTATAGCTTGAAAACTAAAATTTGGTTCAAGTTTGTAAAGTAAATAAAATTCAGATACATTGGAGGCTTAGCTCTACCTACAGAAACAGATCCTGGGCTAAGTTGGAGGTTCACTCTGGCCACAGCGTGATGCCTGGCCTTTCCCTGTCCAGCATCGCACTAGAACATTCAGAAGCTGACTACAGCAGCCAGAGAACTAGTCCAGTCTCTCTGGACAGAGCCATCCCACCAGTAAACATGGGTATCCTGACATAAGGACTGTGATGGGGATCTTGGGGACAGTCCCCTCCATGTCACACAGAGCAAGGCCACATGAATATTCTGCATTTCATGCTGTCACAACACATCTCTTAAACATAGGCTTCTAGGCTAGAAAAGGTAGGAAGTCAAGTGAGTGCC